AATAAACCTATAGAGCCAAAGGGATGAGCTAACTGTAGCCCTGAGACGTTGAGTGAGCCCTGTGAGTTCACACACACACCATGGCCTAGGAGCAAGCGCCTACCCTCCTTGAGCACAGGCTGGGAAAAGCACAAATGGCCTCAATGCATCATAGAAAGAATGGGCATTTTAAAAAGAGCAACCCTCTATGTAGCTCAGTCCCAGCACAGAACTATCTTCAACCACCCCAAAATTCTTCCCAATGAAATACTCACCTCAAAGAATAAATAACATTAAGCCAAGAGTTAATAAACATTCAAGCAACCTGAGATTTTATTTTGAAAATAGCTATTTTGACATAATATCCAGTTTCTCATGTATTAGAATAAATTCTTTACAACATTGATCATCATCACCACTTCTAGGTATTTGTACATAATCTCTGAGCAAAATATATTCACATTAGGCAAGGCTAGAATATTGAAACTATGACAAACAATGCTTATCTTAAGTTTGTTAATAACAAAACTATAGTAGTTGTACACTAGAACAGATGTGTCAAATGTTTGCCATTCAAAGATAAGCTTGGTGGAACAAAACCAATATAAGTATACATAAATTTCTTGTCTTCTTTGCTATCAGTCTTTCAGAAAGATGAAGTTATGTTACAGACACCTCAAATTTCCACTTCAGAGTGAGCAGAAAAATGAGAAGACATTATTTCCTATTTTACAAAATAAAACACCAAGTCAGAAGAAGAATAAAGCTCATCTTTATGCAATTAACATAAAAGCTTGAATACACCGATCCTTCTCCAAGAAATAGAGATGCCAGCTCTGCGAGACAGGCAGTCAACAGGCCAAAGAATGGATGGCCAGCACACAGCCTTCTCTACTCTGCATGACGTACTTAGGACTGATGCAAACTCTGGCAAGTCATTTTTTTCTAGACTTCCAAGGACCTTGGATATGTAAACTCAATGATTAAAAGGCATTTTTCTGAATTTGCATGAGGAAATCTAAAGAATCAGAACAAAGATCCAACTGCTTTGCACATGGATAGATATCCACCATTACACCACAACTCAAATCCAAAGGCAGGATTTCTATCAAATTCATATCCAAAGCACAGAGTTCTAAACCATATACACTGCAGAAAACAAAGAGCCTCCTTACGATGCGTAGACTGATTTTGTACTCTGAGATGAAATCAAACATATTTAGTCCTCTAAGGTCTAGTGAGGCTTAAACTGGGGGGGAATATAGAAACTGCTCAGAATAAAAACTGTAAATACTCATCCTAGAAAAAGCATATACGAACATGCAATCCTTGTCTAGACAATGTCTTCAGTAACAGAACTTGAAAATATTAAACTTTCTTTGCTTTTGTCACTGAAGCAACTGTAAACTTTCTATGACACTATGTGTGTATGCATATATATATGTGTATATATATATATATATATATATATATATGTATAAAATAACCAGCTCGTATGTGACTTTAATGCTATAAATACTCATTGCCTTTTTGGTACTTTTAAAGCACAGCCAAAATCAGTTTGGAAATTTGTTCTGGATTCCCAAGTCGGTTCCCTCTGTCTTGCAGACGCCTAAGTGGCGGGTTCTCTGAAACCACCAGTTCACACTCCTGTGCAGCTGTTCCAGGCTAACTGGGATTCCAGGGAAAGTGACTGGACTGACCACAGGCCTCACGGGGGCCTAAACAGCAACCTATTGAAACCCAAAGCCACTTCTCAGTCAACTCCATGGTCCGAGGGAGTCCTAACCTGTCTCCTCCCACTTTCCCACCACTCCCTGGAGGGGCAGCCAACAGCTGGAAGCCTTTGCAATGAGCACAGACAAGCAGAAACACTCACAAGGCAGCATTTCTCTAAGCGAATTTCTCAGAACACAAATCCCACATGATACTCACTTTAAAAAAAATCCACATAAAAATAGGAAAATGGTGTGTAAAATACAGGTCCTCATTGGAGTTTGAAACCACCAACAGCATATCGAAGGTTCTGAGAAGCCTACAGTAACTTCACTTTGCTAACCCAGAATTTCCCAAACCTATTTGGCCAAAGACCTCTCGATTCATACAATAACAATATATTCTGCCAAAGTATATCTTGAACTGCTTCTCCAAAACACTAAAATAGAGTTTTAAAAAAATCTTACAATATAATTTCAAATTAAGCATAATGAGGATATAAAACCACTTATTTTCCTGCATTTTTAAAAGGAACTGTTTTGTTTTGCTTTGAACAGTCTTTTATTATAACATTTCACTCTCTATAAACATCCAACTCAAAGTAATCGTTTGTTATATCATTGTTCAAGAATGTCAGTTCTCATCAGTAATCACTGCCCTCCTCATCAGGACAGAAAATTTCTGTATGCTTTCTGATTCTGAGAATACCTCTCCACCTCAATCACAATAATTTTAAGTCTAGGGCAGGTAATCTGGGCTTTAAACAAACATTATTTCCCAACATGAGTTTTGGGATAAATAATTTTACAAACGCTTTAAAAAAAAAAGCAAATTACTCTATGAAAATCAACATTTGAACATTTAATTACGCTTCAGTTAAACCTTTGAGACTAGGATTACTGACCTTTGACTCACATAATTAACAAATTTCTTAATAATCTAGTTTCTTAGGAAATATGAAAATGCTGAAAAGTAAATGCAGATTACACAGAGTTGAACAAGGGAAAAGGCAAAAAATAATTCTAAGTGCCAACAACATATACAGAATACCATCATTACAACTCAAATATGCTATGTGGCTCTGCTCAGGATTTCAATTAGATAAATAACTAAACCAAGACAAAGTCAATCACTAAATCCCTGTAGGCCTAAAACAAAAAACAGAGACACACTCTACACTTTGTTCATCAAATTATGGTCCCAGTGTTGTTGGCAAGAACACCTTCAAAATAAAGAAGGGTTACCACACAAAGACATGGAGAATTACCACACAGAGACATGGAGGAGCTTTCTTCAAAATATTTTAAACCCAGGTACCATAGGGAGAAAAGATATAAACATAAAGATCATAGAATTTTTTTATATCTTAGGAAAAGGGGTTCTTGGTTTTAGCTTGTTTTTTCTTTGCTGATAAGGCAAACCAAATCTTCAGATAATCATATGTTATAAAGTTGAGTTTGTTTTTGTCTTTAAACTCAGAATGAAATTATATTTAATTTATATTATGCATTTATTCATCTGGAACTGAATACTGAATACTATGTCTGAAGCTTTAAATTGTAAATCACAGTTTATCTAAAGATAAATTCACTCTATTGAATTTACTTTTAAAACCCTTTTATTCTGAAATAATTAGACTCACAAAAAGAAGTTGCAAAAACAGTACAGAGAGAGTCTATGTAACCACCCCTCAGCTTCTTGTCTTTACATGTAAGCATTTATATTTTGGTTTTAGAGGAATACAATTTTTGACGGATTATGAAAAAATAAACAGTTGATGAAAAAATCTAATAACCTGGTAAATGACTATTCCTGGAAGAGGCTCTAAGAAAACATACTACTGACTTCAAATGCCACTTTTATCACATGTTACTACTTTTAAAAATTGGTTTTCTGAGATACTATTACTGTTACCAATTTCTGCCTCTTTTGATGTCTAGTTTTTTCCATTTTTGTAGACTTCTGAGAACTGTAACTTAGCTCTGATTGAAATAAGTTTTCCCATTCTTTTAAGTTAATATATCTTGCCATATTAAATGAACAGAAATTACAAATGGAAATCAAAATTCTTTGGACTTAATGTAAAATCTCTATCATTCAAAAAATAAACATATCTAGGTTGAAATTTGATTCATTTGCCAGTGCTAAACTTTTTGGGGAAAAAAACATTGTGTAGGAATGACTATCCTTAAAGGTCTTTTGCAGTTTCTTTGGTGTTATGAAAATGGTCAACCTTATGGATAACCAATGACAGTTTGCGGATGAAAGGTCTTTATCTTGTGGCAATTATCTGACCAATTTTCTCATCCTATACTGCCAAGAAACATAAACACCAACACAGTCCTTTTTATCATATTATCCTCTACCACAGTGTTTTAAGGTTGTGGATCATTTATCTCAGCAAACTCAAACTTTATCCAAAGCATATTCTGACAGGTTGATCACAAGCTCTCTGTCGAGTCCTGAAAGTTGTTCCTCTCCAAAAGCTTCCTATATATGCGGCTGATGCCTGGAGTGGTTTGTGCTCAGTGATAGCTTCCTAGCATCTCATTAGCTTTTACCAAAAAAGCACAACTAAGTAACCCAGCATATAAATTCTCACTTATCTAACTCATACTTCGCCTCTTAGCAAAGACAGTCTGCAAGTATCATGGTCTATATGGCACACAGCTAAAGGCAGTTCAAACAAAGCAGGAATGACTGAAAGGAAATAAAATCATATTTACAGTCATCTTTTCTACTAAAAAAAAGGACAGAACTTGCTATCCCAGAATACCTTTTGATTCAACTTTCAACACATCAAACATTACAGTATGCTTATTGGCTGCATCTTTGTGTCATAAGAACACAATACCCCATATTCTTATAAAAATGGAAACACATTTTTCTTACTCATGGACATCAGTCACTTTATTGATAGAAAACTTTACATAACCCCATATTATTCTTTCATTTTGTCCATGGGGAAACTTGGGAGTTAAATTTACCATTCAATTTTAGAGCTAGTACAGTTAAGGGTTGGGTTAGTATAGTTCTTTCTCCCACAAACTTTTTATTTTTCCAAAACCCAATTTTAACTGTCCTATTTTACATATGTTTAACAATTGTAAGTCACTTCAAATGCTTTTTGAAATCGTAATTGAAAATGACTAACCTTCACTAAAGCATAAACAGATGTCTGATTAATGTGCTAACCACCCTTCTTCAGTATACATTAATCCCAGAGGATAATAAAGTCCTACAGTCATGATTTCCAACATAGCCTATTCATACAGATTTTCCAACTGTTGGAATCTAACAGAAGACTAACACACACACACACACACACACACACACACACACACACACCACACCACACACACACACACACACACCACACACACACACACACCACACCACACACACACACACACACACACCACACACACACACACACACACACACACACACACACACACACACACACACACACACACACACACACACACACACACACACACACACACACACACACACACCTCTCCAGATTTCTGACTGCTGGAATCTAACAGAAGACTAATAACATAAAACACACCCCCACACACACACCCCCACCCCCACCCACTCTCCCACCTGTTGCAGAAGTAATGTGAAACAGATGAGTGACTTTCTCTCAATGTATCCAAACAGACACCCAAGACCTTGAAGATTACCTTGTTTCTCATTAAAACTTTCAAGAAAAAATATTTATGATGACTTAAAGACTCCTATATAAATACAGAACAAATTGAGAAGATGCAGGTCAAACACTGCTGAGCTCCACTCAGCTCAAATTAGACGAGTCTGCTGACTCCAAAGCTGTTTTCCTAACATGGGGGTTTCAGCAGGATGACATAAGATTTGCTGAGCACCATAGTAATCTTTTAAGACACTAATCAAAAACATGGTCCTGTATTTAAAAAACCCCAGAAGTGGTTTTAAGACGGCAGAAGCACCTCAGCCACTAAAATAAGCAAGATTCTAAGTGAAATTACCCACACAGCAAATCTTTTAATAGTTCAGCAACCAATAAATGGAAAATGTTCCTTAAAATCTATTTCCAATTATTCCAAAGAATCCTTCAACTGTAGTTAAGCTCTATGGAAAATAATTAGTTGTCATAAAGCTTCTGACTACATGGTGTGTTTCTTAGGAAAGAACACTGGTCTGAGCCAAGCATGGTGACCTTGGGCCAGGTACACAGTAGGTGCTTCCAGTTCTGCGGCGGTGGGCTGCTCCTGAGTAGTGCCTGACAATTGGGTGAGTGTCCTAAGACTTTACAGCCTGACATAAAAGCGATGCTAACACTCAGCTCTCCTGAAATCAATCCAAGAAAGAGATGACTAGTGTTAAAGACGTACTACAAACACACAGGCCTGAAGCTTCAGTAAATTAAAACAGCCCTTGCTAACCTATACTGAACACATCAGCAAATACTGTTATATTGAAGTGCATATAGTCAGACGAATATTGTATGTTACCACCTTTAATATTTACATGTGTGGTACTAACTCCCCCAAAGGTTAGACTTGTGAGATAATTAAGAAACACATTCCTTGTTGTTTTTTAACATTAAATACAGGTTTTCTATTAAAGAGAATATTAGAATAATATATTTTTCCTGGTGTCTAAAATAGGCATCAGATTTCTAAACAGAAGAGAAAAGGCCTTAGGCAAAGAGCCACATATTAAATATTCAGACTGGTCTAAGGATACTAAATTAATAAATTAACTTGAATAAATTAAGTGTGCACATTCAGAACAGAAGTGGAGCTTTGGGCCAGCAACAAGTGAACCAAAGGCAAAAATCTGCCAAGGTTAAGGCAGGTTTTTATATACAGTACAATGTATTTTCTGCCCCCCTCCCCGCCCCCTGCCAAGTCCATTTAGCATTCACGCTGTTATTTAAAGTGCATTGCCAAGCTAAAACAGAAGCTTCCTAATGAAAAAAAATTGCTGTCATAGAAAGTTTCTCTTGTTTTTGAGTCTTCCTTCTACCTATTTTTAGCATTTTCTTTTTGCCCTTCACACCCTTAGTGTAAGAGATTGCTGCAACAACTACATGATGTTGGACACAAAGCATGATGATGGTCAGGGTGATAGCCGTTGTAAGGAATTACTTTCTTCTTCTGCTGGAGTCAATTTAAGTGTTGGCAGTTTCCGAGGAGGAAGCTGAGGGCTTTGGCGAAGATTGTCATCCATCTGTGGAAAGTACAAAAGGTACATCTGACTAACAGCTATGGTAACACTAACATGGACTGTGGCATCCCCATCCAAACCATAGCCTAGAAGAGTACAGAACCTTATGTGTCTAGCACTGCTAGAGAAATCTTTTTCTTGCAAATAATCTCTAAAGAATTCTAAACATAAACAAAACAAAAAAAAGAATTCTAAACATCATACCTAAATACTGGCTGACTTAGTACATGTATGGGGTTTCCCTGTGGCTCAGCTGGTAAATAATCCGCCTGCAATGTGGGAGACCTGGGTTCCATCTCTGGGTTGGGAAAATCGCTGGAGAACTACCCCACTCCGGTATTCTGGCCTGGAGAATTCCATGGACTATATAGTCCATGGGGTTGCAAAGAGTGGACACAACTGAGCGACTTTCACTTTCACTTAGTATATGTATAAAAGCAGTATGGCTCATCCTTGATGTCTTCACAAAATTACAGTAATGCCACAAGATGAACAGTCTACTGAAGTCAACCACAGTACAACTTGGTTTAAGAAACCTTCTAATATTAAGTGTAAAAGCAACATTTCTGTTAGATTACTTTCCACAGGTTACAAAGTATGTTCTCATTTGAGCTTCCCAAGACAATTATAAAGAAAAAAAGACAATCATTCTCTATTTTACAGATTAGCAAAAGGAAGCTCAGAAAGGTTATCAGGTTTGCATTAGCAAAGCTAACATTAGAGCTGAAATGTGAACCCTGGTCTTATTCTAACACTATTGTTCTTTCAACTATACCTCAATGTCTCAATAAAAATGACCTATACTCCACTCAAAAAGATCACCTCCTTTAGGCTCTGAGTATTTAGACCAAGGAAGGCTAGGAAAAGAGACAGAAGGATAAATACTTTAGACTTAATCCAGAGGCACTGCAAACAATGGATCAGTTCTAAGTCTGCTCTAGAGAAACAAAGTAACGTGGAGCATATTTAGAAAATGTCCAAGAGCTTCAGGAGTACATTAGCATCCCTGAAAACATCAGGAGAGGGGTTATTTAGATCTGAGTCAGACCCGAGAAAACTACCTTTAACCAGGGTACCCCAAAACCAGAGTGCAAGGTCCTGGTATTAAGCTATTTCATAAAAGTCTTGAAAGCAGCTGCCATCGATAACCCAAAACCAACAGAATACAGCGTCTTATCACCTAGCTGGTAGACAGGCTTTTTTTTTTAGAGTTTTAACATGTGTAGCGCAAAACTCTCTCCTTTCAAGATGCTTTTATAAAGCACAGAGGAAATGTTTCAGCAGAGGTACATGGGGTTTATAATCAAAGGAAAAGAATAAAAGATTAACTCAGTTTTCCAATGGACAAGAGTATTCCCAGTGAACTATTTGAATCAGTTGTGTTAAGATGTCTTTTTTTCCTTGCAAGAACTAAGTTCCTCAAACATAACTCTTTCTTTTTTTTAAGCTCTAGATTTTCTGTCTAAATGGTGAACAGTGGTAGTCAAGAGAATTTGCTGTTCTATTGTCTTGTAGCAAACAGTGATCTGTACTGAGGAGCAGATGGGAAGTGGGGTGGGGAGAGGCGCTAACACAGGGTCAGGAGACTCTCAGGTAGTGATGATGCCAAAGTGAACTGTACAGAAGTGGTGGCAGCACCTCTTGGTTTCACTTTCTGCAAATATACGTCTGAAATGAATTTGCCACAGATGGAAATGAAAACTACCCTGGATAGTCTTCATCCGGCAGAAAAGTATCTACAACAGTCTGAATAATTTTTCCATTATCCACACTTAACTCTTGGTGTATTTCCTCTCATGAGATTTACTGGGTTGGGCTAAGAATTAAGACAAACTTGGCTTTCATTCAGCTTACCCAAACTTTAACAAGAGGTACATAAGTAAGAAGTTAAGTGCTAGTTGCTAAGTTGTGTCTGATTCTTTGCAAGCCTGTGGACTGTAGCCCACCAGGCTCCTCTGTTCATGGGATTCTCCAGGCAAGAATACTGGAGTGGGTAGCCATTCTCTTCTCCAGGGGATCGTGAAGTGAAGTGAAGTGAAAGTGGCTCAGTCGTGTCCGACTCTTTGCGACCCCATGGACTACACAGTCCATGGAATTCTCCAGGCCAGAATAGTGGAGTGGGTAGCCTTTCCCTTCTCCAGGGGACCTTCCCAACAAAGGGATCAAATCTAGGTCTCCCACATTGCAGGCAGATTCTTTACCAGCTGAGCCACAAGGGAAGCCCAAGAATATACCATAAAAAGAAATAAAATGGTCACTCCAGAGAGTGGTAGTTGTAAACCTGGCTATTACCACCAGTAGTAATGGATACATAATTTCACTCATGAGTTACATAGCTGACTAACTACAAAGCCCATGCTGGAATCCAATTACCAGGGTTCAGATTCTCTCTCTACTTCTTGCCAGCGGAATGACCTCGGGCAGATGATGTTATAAACAACCCTTGAAGCTTCAGTTATCTCATCTGTAAAATGGGGATAACAGAGTACCTGCACATACAGGGTTGCTGTAAGATTAAATGAGATAACTCATATAAAGTTCATATGATACAGTGCCTGTTACTCAATCCCCCAAACCTCTAGCCAGTGTTATTAGGCCATAATGACCCCTTAGCTTGTGAAAGAATGAAGCATTATCCATTAGTATAAGAAAAAAGCAAGTTTATCAAACACTTGAGGAAAAAACTGTCTCTTTTTCCACCTAGAATCACCCTTGAAATTTCCATTGCTGGTTCCCTCCCCTGCCCAATTCCTCAATATTTCTCTCAACAAATGCATACTCCCTAAGTGGCAAATATCCACACTAGCCAAAAACTTTAAACATTTAGAACAGAGGATAGGAACATTTATGTGAAAGAAAAAGACACCATAGTGCTATCACTAAGAGAGAATAAGCACAGGAGCTTACGATCAAGAAATATTAACTCAGAGAGGGAGGGAAGCAGACAAGCAAGCAAGGAGCGTTTTTCTGTTTCTTTCTCTCCCCCCTCTTTTTTTTTTTTTTTTTTAAGCCAAAGTCTCCTAACTTGAAAAGTACTGCTAATTGTGTGGTAAAAGTAAACCCAATGCTATTATCAGATCTTTCCCCCAAACAACCAGTCCATTACTGGCTTCAAAACACTGTATTTTGTACTGCTTTTAGTAAATGTATATTTAAACAACTTTCTGAAAAAAATAAACTTAAAAAAATAAAGAAAAGGGTAAAGGTAATGCATAACCAAAATTACAATATTAACTGCAGAAAGGAAAATGCTGAACTAGTACAAAATAACGATTGAAGTAAAACTTGACCTTTTCAATTAAGTTGGATTCCTTATTTACAAGTTGTGTCAGTTTCTGCAGATTTGCATCTACCGTTTCTTGTCCAGCAGGAGAGATGCCTAAGAAGCCAGGACAGAAATCAGAAAGAGGAAATTTTGAAAGCCTTACAAGCTGTTTAGAGTCAAAGAATATTGAGTCTTTCCACCCCCTAAATGCTCCATCCCCCACCCACCTCCCCAAAAAGGCAAAGTGAAAAACCATTCTCGGTTCAAAAGGCAAACGTAAAATAGAGTAATACTCCAAAAGCAAGCCCTAAGCCAAAGGACTGAATGCTTCCTTCAGGAGACCCAGTTAGCCAAGTGTCAGGCAGACAGCCAAGGTCGTTAATACGAGCGCAGCAGTGCTCACTGCCTTCTCAAATCTGACATGTACCTTTTCCCCACCCACCTCAAACAGGCCTTTAGTTACAACTACTGCATCTGAAGAGCTTTCGAAGGGCCAAACAAATATCCACGCCTCCAAAGTACTTGAAGAGACTTTTAAAAAATACAGATTTCTGGGATCTATTCCAGGAATGGATCCTATTCTAATTCGGTGAATCTGGTACAGGACTTAAGATTTTGTATTTGTTCTGTGGTCAGGTTTGCTAACCACTGCTCCCAAGTAACAAGGTTGAGAATTACTCAGTTTCATGACTTCCAAACTACTAACCCCTTCCTTGTTACGTACAAGTGTATTATATACAAAACACATAACCCACTATATAAAAAAGTAAACTGTTCCTAAGCCAGTGGTCCTCATGACTTCTCTTTCTTAAAAGGACGATTTCTGCCAACTCTCCCCACACAAACTCGGTGAGCACAAGGCCCCTCACTCCCGAAGCAGCGAGCCTGAGTGGCAGGCGCCCTCTATTTACGATACCTCGTCTGGTGCAAGCAGTTTTCAAGTAGTGGAATCATGGGAGTGTACCTCACCAAAATCAATCTGCTGCTCATTTCTGTTCACGCAGGAAAATGCTAGAAGCAACATTTAAAGTAATTGCCCATTTGCATTAGGATAAAGGCTGTCTTTCAGCAGGGACACAATAAATACCTGTGGTTAAATTTTAAAAGAAAATGACCCACTTCAAAGGGGCAATATTTAAAGAACAAGAAGCGAGAACTGTATAAAATCCAGAAGAACAGACAAAAGGCAAATAGATATTTCTTTACTGAAAGAAGAACTAACACATGGGGGGGGGGAAAAAAGTTGGAAAAAATGCCATTTTTTGAAGTTTTATAAACCAGGATTTCGGAGAAGGAAATGGCAACCCACTCCAGTGTTCTTGCCTGGAGAATCCCAGGGACGGGGGAGCCTGGTGGACTGCCGTCTACGGGGCCGCACAGAGTCGGACACGACTGAAGCGACTTAGCAGCAGCAGCAGCAAACCAGGACTTAAAGACAATATACACACATTTTAGATAAGTAATGGATTTGGTGTATCCGTCCTTAGGAGAATATGGAAATATTCTATGCAAACAAAGACTAGCTGAAGAACCAACTTACCTCCAAGACTAAGCCTGAAATAGCTGTTTAGAATGTCATCACAAAAGCGACACAGGTTGGAGAGCTGCTTCAAATGTTCTTGTAACTGAACTTTAGGAAAACGCACTTTATAAAGAGGCGCGAGAAAACCAAACACATAGGCATCCAAAGTGGAAGGCCTGAAAATAAATTAAGGATTTTTAAAAAGCACATAAGAAAATATTAATCTGGGATTATGCTAAAAACTTTTTCTCAAATGCATTTATCGATTCTGCAGTATAAAATATAGTCTTTTAAAAGGTTTACCACCCATTTGGGCTTATAAAAATGAAGCAACTAGGGTTTTACTCATTAGTAGTTTTTTAAAATACTCTACCCATTTTTATTTAGAAGAAAATTTAAGTTGTAAATTAAAAGATTCATTTTTACTCACAGGTATCATGTAGAGACTAGAGACTGGGTGGGAACAGTCTTAAAAGTTTCAAAGTCACAATATGCAACATACTAAGTCAATATCAGATTACCCCGACAGAAAGTTTCCTACAGTATAAAATCCACTAAGTATTTTTTTAAGTGGCAAACTCACTGGGGATGGGGTAAGAGGACCAGGCAAGGGAACTTGCTTTAAGTGACTGCTCAATGGATATATGCAAACAAAACATTAAAATGGTTTTATAAGGGAATGTACTCACATATCTCCAAAGAAAAACTGAGATGTTCCCAATCTGTTTGACAGAAGATTTAGGCACTCCTTCGCATCTCTGTATATCTAATAAGGATGAAATTACATCTCAAAAGTAGGAAAGATGCTCAAGAACTCCTTTTAGGCTGGCATCGATAAGTATTGGGCAGGCCAAAAAGTTTGCTCAGGTTTTTCTGTACCATCTTATCACCTACCCCAACGAATTTTTTGACCAACCCAGTAGTTTCACCCCTGCTCTCTCTTATCCCTCCTCCAGAGAGCCCTTGCTCTGAAGGTAATTCCAACCATACCCGAGCTTCTACTTCTCGAAGGTGGTAGAGGGGAGGCTCTCCCCTGGTCAGGAGAATCCTATTCAGTGCTCCCTTAGACATTCTTCCAGGCAGGATCAAACTCAAGGGAAAAGGCATTCGTGAAGCAAACCATGGCTTTGTCACAGTAAAGTAATTGTCACTCTCCACCCAGAATGTGTGAAGCTGCAAAAGGAGAGGAAAAAACACTACAAGGATATTCTTTTATTAAAAGATCATTTAATAGATGTAAAACTTTTTCATAAATATCTCTGAGTGAAGTTAACCTCATACCCATTTTCCAGCTGGGACAAATCAAGATTTTTAAACATGTGAGTTTTGTTTTGCTCTATCCCAAGCATCCAGAATAAGGCCTGGAACATAGCAGGTGCTTAATGAATATTTTCTGAATGAATTACAGTTGGCCCAAATCTACACATGGAGCAACAAACTCTGTCTTTCACAGAGAATTTTTATTTCCAAAATGACACTGTCTTTCACTTTGTTGGGTCCTATACTAGTTGAATGTCTAACAGAATCAACCCAGTTTCACAGTTACGTGAAACAATTGAAAATAATACATAAATGAAATTTCCTCTCTTAAGCCTCTTCCAATATTTTTCTTCTAAACAGACTAAGTACATTCTCGGTAAGTCACTAAAATACTGTAATATTCACCAATGCTCACCACTGCAGGAAGAAGCTTCTCTTCAAGGAGAGCAATGTAAGCTAGCGTATCTGCCCCTTGTTTTGCTGAAAGTTCATAATCAGCATTGTATTTCTGTTAAAAAATATAAAACCCAAAACCTCATAAGTCAAGAACATCCCAAAACAGTGAGGCTAAATAAACTAGGACTCCTATTCTTCCTCAAAAATGGCAAACATATTAAAAGGGAAAAGAGAAATACAAATTCAGTAACAAACACTACTTAATGCAAATAAAGTTCTGAACATAGTGTCATGTACACAGCAAGGTCCATAAATGTTAGTTTTAGGTTTTTTTAAAATTATTATTAACTATTATTTCAATGATTGTTAATGACCTTAGTTTAGTGCGTGGCATGTAGTACAAAGTTAATAGAAGCTATTATTATTTTTGTTAATTGATAATAAGGAAAAGTTCTAATTAGTTGTGTTCCCCATGAAAAGAAAAAACTTCCCCATTTAGAAAAGTTCTAAATTTTGTTGACATAGGACTTCCTTAACTATTGGCAAAACCAATGATAACTTTCATGTTTATATAAATTGCTATATGTTTAAACATTTTAAATATATAAACCTTGGCATGTTCAGATATTTTGGATACATTATTTCATGAAACATTTAACTGCAGCTATTAATTTAAGTACTTAAAAAAAATAGTTACTAGTTGATAGGAACTCAGACCTCATACCAAGCACAAAATGTGTAGCGGTTATGAACCTAAATTTACAATCATATCAATAAGTGTAATAGTGAAGATAGCTAAACTGAATCTACTTATACCTAAACTTCAATAAAAGCCAAGCAAAGTGCACAATCATATAAGTTGACTGTAACTCACTATATGGCTTTTGAATCACAGTACAACTCATAATTTAGAGCAGTGACTCTCAGATTTATTTTTTTTTAATCAAACCCTATGTATCTCCAAGGTGGTTAGATGGTAAAGAATCTGCCTGCAATGCAGGAGACCTGGGTTGGATCCCTGGGTAGGGAAGATCCTCTGGACAAGGGAATGGCAACCCACTCTGACATTCTTGCCTGGAAAATCCCCATGGAAAGAGGAACCTGGTGGGCTATAGTCCATGGGGTCACAAAGAGTTGGACTCAACTGAAGCGACTGAGCATGCATGCATGCATGTATCTCCAAAAAAGAATTCTAAACAAATATTTTTAATGTTTTTCTTTTTTTAAAGTAACATGCAGGGATGGAGAATCTACTTATTCAAAAAGGACCACCCACCTGTTTTCTTAAAAAGTTTAGTATTTTTGCCGGCTGAGAAATAGTATTGTCTTCAGTTGTCAAAACTGGTACATCTCCTATAATCAAAAAACATTTTACACACAAGGAAGCATTTCGATATCCTTTGAAGAGATCCCAGTACCCTTAAAACTATACCAATCACATTTGGAGGAGGAAAAAATGAGTAAGATATTTTAGGTTTTTGCAGTTTTACACACACACACACACACACACACACACACACACACACACAGAGTTTTGGAGAGCATTTCATTTCTCATAATTTCCACTTATTTAGCTTGTCCTTTGAAGTATTGCTCAGAATGATCAAAACATAAGCAACATACAGTCAAGGTCATGGTGAGAACTAAAACCCCAAGGTACTCCATGGCTACATGCCTCCTAGCTTTAAATGAGAGGGGGGAGGGTGCAGAAAGGGGGCAGAAAGGAGCGTTTAAAAGTTTCCAGTGTACCTCTTGAACCTCTCCAGGTGTTATCTATGACATTGACTTTCAGGGGTGCACCAGAAAATTTGGCGTAAGCCTGAAAGAGAGTTTGGAATAAAACATTTTAGACTGAGTACTAAAGGAAATCTGCAGAGCAGCTTGACTTCAAATCTGGGTCCCCCGAAAGGTAGACACATCAGACTCCGGGGCTGCATCCCTCCCCAGACTTCTAGCAGGCGTTGCGCACGCCAGCTACCAGAGCTTTGGGGGCTTATTTCACCCCCATCCCAACATTCAGGGGATACAGAGCAGGGAGCGCGCGCGCCGTGCTTTGGGCTTTCATTCCACCGCCCAGACAGCTGTGCATGATGGAAAACACTCGGAGCCAAGCGGAGAAGCCATGACTTCCCCCCCGTGGCTTCGGCGGGGACACAGGCTAGGCTATAACTTCTCGGACGCGAGGGAGCCCAGATCGCTGCAGCAAGCAGCCCCCGGGCCGGAGCGCCGCGCGGGAAGCACCGTTAGCCGCCGGGACCGGCCAGCCGGCCTGGCGCCTCTGGCCCCGCCCCTTCTTGCCCGCGCCCGCGCCAGCGAGACGGCCTCACCATCACCACCAGGGAGTCGCTGTGCACCGACGGGAGCCCCCAGCCGCCTCCCCAGCAACTGAGCTCCAAGGGGGCCGCCATCTTGCCGGGGCCGACCTTTGTTATCCCGGAAGTGCTTTTGCCACCTACTTTCCGGCAGGTGGAATCACGGGGGCGGGGCGAGGAGAGAAGAGATCTCTGGGGACCGGGAGAGAGGCCGGAAGGACCCCTGGAGCGGTTAATCGCATGCTTAGAGTCAGCTTGGCCTAGGGGTTGAGAGTCCTGGGCATAAGTCAGATGGCCTGCCAGTAAGTCCCCAGATACTTATTGCATGCCTAATGTGTCCCATGGAGAAGGAAATGGAAAGCCACTCCGGTATTCTTGTCTGGAGAATCCCATGGTCAGAGGAGTTTGGCAGGCTCCAGTCTCTGACCTGGAGAACCCCATGGTCAGAGGAGCCCATGGGGTTCGGACACGACTTGGCGACTAAAGCAAACAGTGTGTCCCAAGCCCTTTGAGCATCGCTACCCTGGGCCTAAACGAACCCATTTGTAGAGCTAGGCACAGCAGTTTAGTCCCAAGATTGTTCTGTTTAAAACTATGACATGGGGGTAAAGAACTTGACGTACATAGTAGGCACTCTAATTGTTTGACCCCTTTCCCCATATATTTGGCTTCTGCTTCTTGCCGGTCTCGATCTCAATTAGTCACCTACTGTTTACTTGTTACACCTTTTCTAAAAGTAGCAAGTTTCCTGGAGTTTGTCAGGTTTCCTGGGATTTGAAGAATTCTGCCCTTCTTCAGTCTGGAATGTCTTGCTTTCTTCCCGTCTGAAATGTCTTGCTTTCTTCCCTGGCTCTACTCCCTCAAAGATGAGCTTAACCGTCACCTCCGTGGTAGAGTTTTCCGAAGCCAGGGACTTCTGGATCCCTGCAGCCTTTTGTACGTACTTGAATTGTAGCTTCTACCTGATACAAACTTTTTGCCTTTCAGTGTACTGAGAGTTCTTGGAAGACAGAACGGGGCTGGCTTCCTAGATGTGTGAGGTGTCTGCAATTACACAGAGACCTGTGCTTAGAAAGCTCACACTTGCTTAATGTTCTGGTGTTATTGTTTTGAAATTCTTAATAATTTTTTAACAGAGGGCCCTGAGTTTTTTATTTCAGTTGGGCCCTGCAACATGTCATCAGTCATGTCTGTGGGCCTTGTGGGCATGAACTACATGTTTCTTAAGCATCACACTGACAATTTCTTAGAAAAACTGAGGAAAAAAAGGAAAGATGGACCTTGGAAATGCCTTGATCATAACTTGCTTTCTGGGTCTGGAAATTAGACTTTGGTACCAGGTGCCTTTCTAGAAGGCACAGTAGGCTTTCTGGGATACTCTCTCAGGCATTCCTCTGAGCTCTTTCCTTTCCCATGCCCCTATGGTTGCTGCTGCTAAGTCACGTCAGTGGTGTCCAACTCTGTGCGACCCCATAGACGGCAGTCTACCAGGCTCCCATCCCTGGGATTCTCCAGGCCAAGAATACAGGAGTGGGTTGCCATTTCCTTCTCCAGTGCATGAAAGTGAAAAGTGAAAGAGAAGTCGCTCAGTCGTGTGTGACTCTTCCTGACCCCATGGACTGCAGCCTACCAGGCTCCTCCGTCCATGGATTTTCCAGGCAAGAGTACTGGAGTGGGTTGCCATTGCCTTCTCCGCTGAGATGGTTGGGTCCCTTTAAACAACTGAAAACTCAAAAGAAATCTCTGCAAATTTTCACAAAGTTGCAACTCAACAAGTAATTGCTAAACAGTTCCTTAATATTTACATAGCCATCTAAATTACAGTATCAATCTAGAGTCCTTTTTCATGTCTCAAAGGCAAGAGTTTGAAACTTCTCAGAAATGGGTAGAGAAGTTATGTCAAAGGTGAGATTCCATTAACAATACTTAAAATTGGAAAGTGTGTAACATAAATATCATTAAAATTAAATGTCAAAATATTTATTGAGCAGCATATGTCCAAAACCCTGTAAAATTCTGGGATGATGCAGAGATAAATAAGTTATGAATTCTGTTCTCAGGAGTTTATAGTCTACAAAGGAGTCAAAGAACTAGGTGTAACAAATCAGACTATCATGAGAAAAGTTAGAGATAAAAATAAAATACTGTGGAAGCAGAGAGCAGGAATGATACATCCTCTGTGGAATCAATGGAGACTTGTCTGTTTCATCTTCAGTATAAAGAAAGTAATTCAACTTTCAGATTCAAGTAATTGGACCTCCCTGTTTAGAGGATTAAAATCCCAAGCCATAAATCTCAGAGTACAAATACGACAATTAGGCATTTTAAATAATCGTACACAGAGAATATGTGTTGCTTGAGTTTTGTTTATAGAAGGGAGGGGGGTTAAAGTGCATGTACATTCTTTGTGGACACACAATTATTAATTATTCAGCTCGGCCTTCTCCCTTATTGCTACTGTTACAAAAGACAGTTTCATTTGCATTAAAGGGAAATTGAATCTCTTAGTATTGCATTGAGACAGAGAATAGCACACTATTGCTTTTGATGAGAGAATCTTTACACACAGGTTTATTTGTGTCTATTTAATAGCAGTATTTTTTTTATTGCTGCAATTCCTCTGGAGTGTCTATATTTGCTAGATTGAATTTTAAAACCCTAGCACAGTTGATTGCACCACCAGGCCAAGTATCATTCCAGAGAGGCATACAGAAAGCCTAAACCTTCAGGAATTATGCCTGGTATGGGTAGTTGGTCCCTGTGCATTTTTATGGCTGCTAAAGAATACTGTTTAAAGTTTGTCAAAATCATAGTTTCAGATTCCTACCAGGAAGCATGCTATCTGCAAAACATTTATGTATGTGTGGGATGACCTGAATTACAGCTTTATAATGAGTATTCCAGACAATGTTTTTCCTGAAAAAGAAATCTTATTTTTCAAAATATAGACGTTAAAAATAGTTTCATCTAGTGATGGTCATCTCGGCTCCAGGGACTTGATCTTGGCGTCCATTCCTATCCTTCATGTGTTCCTTAACTTAGGGGCCATGTTACAGATTCTGTTAGGATCCTTTGTCTGGGTTGTTAAGACTCTCTGAAATGGTGCTGTCAGCAAAGATGAAAGTAACAAGTGATCATGCATTATGAACTAGAAATCCTTGAATGTCGCTTTTAACTCTAAACTTCTGTAAGTCATTTCCATGTTCAGATATGGAATTCTTAGGGAGGAAAATAACAAATACTGAATGAAAATCAGGAGAACCGGTTTTCTGACTTTGTTTCTAAATAGCCCAATGACCTTGAGCCAATTATTTTACCTTTATTCCTCGACTCACTCACTTATAAAGTAAGTATCATTTTGTGTCTGATAAGCATTTAATAGCAGTTGACATTCATGGAGCAATTTCTGCATGCCGGAAGTTGTTCTAAGTATCCAAAATAACACATTTGACCTTCATAATGACTCCATGAGGTAAGTGCTGTAATGTTCCACTATTTTCAGGTAGGGAAAGTAAGGCACAAAGTTGTTAATTAACCTTCCCAAGGTCACCTAGCCAACAGGTGATAGAGACAGGATCAGAGCCCAGGTATTCTGGACTCATACTCTTAAACACTGTGTCATTCTGCCTATATCCTTCATCTTTTAAAAAAGGTTTTATTGACATATAGTTGATTTACAGTGTTGTACTAGTTTCAGGTAGTACAGCAAAGTGATTCATATGTATGTGTGTGTGAGAGCGTGTACAGCAACCAAACATATATATTTGTTCCTTTTTAACTTTCTCTTTTGTTGTGAGATATTAAGAATAGTTCTCTGTGCTATACAGGAGGTCCTTGTTGGTTATCTGTTTTGTGTATAGCAGTGTGTGTATTTTAATCTCAATCTCCTCATTTATTCCTTGCTCCCTTCAGTAACCATAATTTCTTTTACAGTAACCATAATTTTGTTTTCTATCTCTGTGACTCTATTTCTGTTTTGTAAAGAAGTTCACTTGTATCATTTTTTACATTCCACAAGTAAGCAATTTCACATGATTTTTGTCTTTCTCTGCCTGGCTTACTCCACTGAGTATGATCGTCTCTAGGTCCATCCATGTCGCTGCAGGTGGCGTTATTTCGCTCTTTCTGAGGACTAATCTTCCATTGAGTATGTATGTATAACAGATCTTTATCCATTCAGCTGTTGACGGACACTTAGGTTGTTTCCGTATCTGGGCTGTGGTAAATAACCTGCTGTGAACATTGCCGTGCATGTATCTTTTTGAATTATGTTTTTCTCCAGATATATGCGCAGGAGTGGGGTAACAGAATCATGTGGTAACTCTGTTTTTAGTTCTTTTTAAGGAGGGTTCCTTTTTCTCCATACCCTCTCCAGCATTTATTGTTTGTAAACTTTTTTTTTTTTTAACTGGGTTGGGTCTTAGCTGCACAGGGCCTCCATTGCATCGTGCAGGATCTTTTCATATGGCACATGGACTCTAGTTATGGTTCGAGGGCTCAGCAGCTGTGGCGCATGGACTTCAGCTGCTCTGCAGCGTGTGGGATCTTAGTTCCCTGACCAGGGATTGAACTCACGTCCCCTGTGTTTCAAAATAGATGCTTAACCACTGGACCACCAGGAAAGCCCCTATTTGTAAACTCTTTGATGGACATTCTACCTGTAACCTTCTAAGTAATCCTATAAAAATCCTAGTTTCACTCAGAGTAGAATTATCAGTGCTGTGAAATCACTATCAACACTTATTAGTATTTGTTTAGAATTTAATTTCAAATTAAATTAAATGGTTTAATTTCAAATTAAGCCATTAAACAAGTTCATGAAGCAACTTATATATGCCCAGCACCCTGCTGGGCAGTAAGAAAATAGAAACTTTTATTTGTGCTTTCAAAGGGATAGTTGATAAAATAAGGTCTACATATTTGGGGTAACTAGAGATGGTTAGGAGGTACCATTTTGTCTAGAAGACCACAATTTTGCCTAAAGTCTAATGTGGCTTTGGAGAAAGTCTAATATACTGCCATTTTTGGCAAAGGCCTGAGAGAAGAAGTAGGGCCTTGGATAACCTTGGATGACCTTGAAGGATGCGTACACTGGG